ATTTTTTCATTGATGGCCTTCATAATTCTGGGATTCACATTTAGGTCCATAATCCATGTTGAGTTGGTTTTTGTATAAGGTGTGAGATGAAGGTCTTGTTTCAATCTTTTGCATATCGTTTTCCAGTCAAACTACTTATTTTTGAATCTTAAATTCCCTAATCTATAAAATAGAGGTGATAATAGTACCTCCCTATTAGGGTTTTAGGAGTCCTGATGTGTCACTTTAAGAAGCTCACTTGACATAAGGTCAGTTGGAACTGCAAAGGCAGCAGTTCAAACTCACCAGCCACTCCTCGAAGCCCTATACAGCATCACTATGAATCAGAACTGACTTGATGGCACTTAACAACAGTTAGGGTTTTTGGAGTCTTGATGTGGCGCTGTAGGATCAGCACTGCACTGCTAACCACAAGGCTGGCAGTTCAAACTCACCAACTGCTGCATGGAAACCCTATATACCTGGAACGGACTCAAAGGCACTTAGCAACAGTCCATAAAGACAAATGTTGTACACCGTGTTCTGATGATGATTGTGGTCATTGTTGTATTAATCTCTTCTGAAGTAGGTAGGAAGATTCTTGACATTAAAGATTGGACTTTTTTTGCTTTAAAAACCTATTGCTGTTGTTGTTGTTGTTAAGTGCCGTGGAGTCTGTTCCGTCTCATAGAGACCCTGATAGGGACCCTGTACAGGGTTTCCGAGGCTGTTATTCTTTATGGGAGCAGAACGCTTCATCATTCTCCCGCGGAACAGCTGGTAGTTTCGAACTGGTGACCTTGCAGTTCATAGCCCTATTCGTAACCACTACGCTACCAGAGTGTGACTCTGTATAAGGTTTCCAGTTAGTGGCTGGTGTGCTTGAACCACCGACCTTGCAGTTTAAACCAACCTTGCGGTCCAGTATTTATCCGACAGTACCCACACCAAGACTCTAGACTATGAAGGCCTCCTGAAGAACCAGGCCCAACATTTTTTTTTCTTCTTTTTGCTGTCTTCACCACTCTATCCCAAGTGCCCAGGATATGGTGGAAACTCAACAGATATTTGTTGAATGATCAAGTAAAATGAATTGGGTGGCTTTCCTCCTTTGCTTCTCCTGGGTCTCAGTATATAAAAAGCATTAACCTGCAAGTAAAATATGGTTTCCTACTTTTCCTCAAACCTCCTCTGGATTTCTGCCTCACAGGGGCTGATGCTGCCGAGGATGAAGAGGTGGACGTCACTAGTGTGGATCCTATCGCCGCCTTCTGTAGCAGGTGAGCCAGCAAGGAGGGCTGGGTGCCTGGACCTCTCCCTGTTGTCAGTCTCTGGTATGAGCTCCTAAGTCCTCCTGCCTGTCCCTCCAGTTCCATCTGTGTGTTAGTCAAAAGAGGTGACTTCTTGGGTTCAAAAGAAATATATTTAGTCTTTATTCTCTAACCCTAGTTTTCACTCTCCTGAAATAGCTTTAAGTAACTGAAATAATCTATTTGTACCATTGATTTTACATCTACTACTGATTTTATTAATCAGTCTGTCCCATTTCCCTTTTTTCATCTTGACGTTCTTAAAGTTCTAGATCTGTACCTGCTGCTTATGGTTGTATAGGTGATTCTTCTGGCCTGAAGGAAGGGCTCATGGTTTAAGCAACTATCTCCTCTTTTTTCCACTCCCTGTCTGATCCTGTTCCAAATAGTGATGAAGAGCTGGAAGATTCAAAGGCTCTATTATATTTACCCATTGCCCCTGAGGTAGAAGACCCAGAAGAAAATCCTTATGGCCCCCCACCAGATGCAGTCCAAACCACATTGATGGACGAAGGGGCTAATTCAGAAAAGAAGAGGCAGTCTTCAGCAGACGGGTCCCAGCCACCTAAGAAGAAACCCAAAACAACCAACATTGAACTTCAAGGAGTACCAAATGATGGTAAGAGCTACATCTTCTCTGTCACCTGATAGAGCACACCTTTTACTCCTCCCCAGCACCATCTGATAATCTCCTGTTTGGGTGATGTTACCTTTAAAAGAATCTGCCTGTTTGTCTGTTTTACACAAGCAGTCCCTGGATTATGAATGAGTTCTGTTCCTGTCTTTAATTCAAGTTTTACGTAAGTTGGAACAGTTAGGTACGATTTTTATTTTGTGTCAGACACATGTTCGTTTGAATATATAGAATACAGTGTACCTTTCTCTGCATAAAGAACATTAAAGAAACACTTCTAGATACTTTAAAGTAGTAAAGATAATAATAATGTTTTTATGCTGTTGCAAAGTCGTGCTTGTTTGTCATTGCAAACTATTGTATGTACCTCAGATTTTTAATATAATAGGCTTTCTAGACATTGGTTTCTGACTAGGGGTTGCACATAAGTCGTCCGTACGTTCATAACTCAGGGACTGCCTCCAGTGTTTTGCAGCTTTGTAATGCTTTCATGTACTTTAATTTCTCTCTCTTTGTAATAATTTACTTTATTTGGGGTGAAAATATACACATATCAGACACTCATTAAACGATTTCTACATAGACAGTTCACTGACATTGGCTGCATTCTTCATGTTGGATCACTATTCTCCCATCTCTCCCCATCTGGTTTCATCCCCACTGATGTAGACTCTCTGCCCCATAAACCACTTAATCTATTACTGTTCTCCATTTGATCTGATCCAGAGAATTCTTTAAAGGAATACAGTTCTTAGGTGACTATCCTTTACTAATTTAGCTGTAAACTGTTGTGTAGTGTCAGGATTAATTAATGGTGTAGTTTTGGTTAAAGGGTCAAAAATTTTCTCAGGTTCAGGGTCCTACCAGTCTCAGTGGGTCCCATACATCTGGGTTCTATAAGAAATTTGAAGTTCTCCACATTCTTCCACCCCACCCCCTTTTGATCCTCTCTCGAGTCCTTTATCAAAATGTTTTGTAATGTAGCCGGACGCCATCCATTTTTTCTCATGGCAAAGGAGCCAACTAGTTCAGTATCTTTTCCATTTCCTGATCTCCTTCCTCTGTTGTTCCAGGCAAATAGAGAACAATTGTATCTTGGATTGCAAGCTTTTAAAACTCTAGGCACTCACCAAACTGGGAGAAGCCAAAACCCCACACCCACTGCCACCTTGTCGTTTCCAACTCACAGTGAGCCTCTATAAGGTTCTCAGGACTATGAATCTCTGTGGGAGAGGACAGCCTCATCTTTTTCTTATGGAATGGCTGGCAGGTTTGAACTTTAGACTTTGTGGTTATCAGCCCATTGCTTATCCCACAGTGCCACCAGGGCCTGCTAGGCTCATTGACTGGATAGTTCCAGGAAGCCATAGCCTTCGAACTAAAATAACTAATCCTATGAGTCGTTTAGTTGTACTTAAGTAGTTACAAAAACTTTAGCCTCTTTTTTTAAAAAAAAATTACACATTTACATATACATTAACACAGTGTTTATTGTTTTGCCCTTTTTCCGGCACATTACTTCTTAGTGATATCATTTACATTAGTCAGGTTGTAACCATTACCCCAATTGATGCCAGTTTTCCCGTTACCTTGGACATAAGCTCACCATTTTCCAGAGAATGATTCCCCCTCTCCCTCTTACCTCCCACCCTAGGTCAGTACTATTATCACTGGTCTCTATATATTTACTGTTTTTGTCTTCATATAAATGGGGTCATACAGTATCTTTTCTTTGTGATTGTTATATTTAATCATCTAATAAGCACTCAACCTCAAGGCCAGTTTGAACCCTGCAGTTCAAGCTCACCAGCTCTCCTTAGAAACCCTATACAGGGTTGCTATGAGTCAGAATTTACTCAGTGGCACTTAATAACAACAGCATCAATAAAAAATCTAGATCCCATTGCTTTGCCCATCTATTGTCTTACAAGAACTTTATGGTTTCAGGTTTAACATTCAGGTGCTGGACTTATTTTTGTGTGAGGTATCACTTTCCTAAAATGGGGAAATTCTGTACTTCAGTATGTTGCCAAATATAACAGATACATTTTCAGTCTTTTGACATCTGGCTCAGATATAATTTCATAGAGCATTCCTTTTTCTTTTCTTTTTTCCATTAAGCGCATTAGGTGGCAAAGTACTAGTCAGACTTAGGCAGTCTTTTTATTCTTACTGCTAACTTTTACATTCTGACTGTGGAAGCCTTTACTGGCACTTCCTGGTGCGGGGAGAGGTGTGTACATGTAACTGTTTATTCTTAGACCAGCGCATTTAATTATGCAACTGCACATTTCACTGTTGCTATCAGTTGTGTTCCTCTTCTCTTATTCTTCTCCAGGACTTGTATAGTTTATATGTAATTGCTGAGGAGCTCTGGTAACGTAGTGGTTATGAATCGGGCTGCTAACCTCAAGGTCGGCAGTTCAAAACTACCAGCTGTTCTGCTGGAGAAAGATGAGGCTTTCTGCTCACGTAAAAGATTTGCAGCCTCAGAAACCCTGTGCAGGGTCACTATGAGTCGGAACCGACTCCACGGTACTTAACAACAACAACATATGTAGTTGCTAACTTTTATATTGGAGTCCTGGTGTAGTGCTGTAGGACAATGCATTGGACCACAAGGTCAGTTTGAACTGTAGGTTCAGCAGTTCAAACCTACCATCCGCTCCTTTGAAATCCTATAAAGTGGGGGTCACTATGTGTAGGAACCCACTTGACAGCACCTAAGAGTAACAACAGTTTTTATATTAATTCTGTGGGCCTGTTTATCCCTGCTTTACAAAGGAGAAAATGTAGGCTGTGAGTTGGTATCTAACTTGCCTCAGGTCTCAAAGGAAATAGTGTGGTTAGGATTTTTACTTTGTTCTCTCTAGTTCCAGGGCCCAGTACTTTTCTGCTCCCACATCCCAGTGAGGTTTGTGTGTGTGTGTGTGTGTGTGTGTGTGTGTGTGTGTGTGTGTGTGCGTGTGTGCATTCCTGTTTAGGCTTAATTGTCTATAATATGAATGTGTATTTCAGTTACCTTTTCAATTTGGAGCTAATATGACTTGGTGTCCTTTAAACGCCAGGTTGTTTTTGCTAAGTGCCTTAAAGTCGATTCTGACTGACAGCGACCCTGTATAGGGTTTCTGAGGTGTTATATCTTCACAGAAACAGAAAGCCTCATCTTTCTCCCACGTAGCAGCTGGTGGGCTTGAACTGTGGGTTATCGTTTGGAGCTACCACATTCCATATATAGCTATTTCTGTTTCATGAACTATATATAAGCCATGTGTGTCCTTTGGCCAGGTACCTCTTTTCTCATTTTATGGGCATTCTTACTGTTTTCCTCCTTCTATTCCTGAATGTGGGTATAAGAACAGGGTTCTTTGCTCATTAGGGGGTGGCACAGCGCAGGTGCTTTTACTTGGGTGTGGAGTCCTTTCCATGTCTCTCTGTCCCCTTACAGAAGTCCATCCACTACTGGGTGTGAAGGGGGATGGCAAATCCAAGAAGAAGCAAGCAGGCCGACCTAAAGGATCAAAAGGTAAAGAGAAAGATTCTCCATTTAAACCGAAACTCTACAAAGGGGACAGAGGTTTACCTCTGGAAGGATCAGCGAAGGGTAAAGTGCAGGCGGAACTCAGCCAGCCCTTGACAGGTAAGGACACGCTAGAAGCGCTGTCTGGCTTGCTTCGTGGCCTTGCTTTGTACAGCCCCTGACTCCATTAACTGCACCATTTTTTGCTTTCTCTTCTCCTTTTCCCAGTAGCATATATTTTGAAGTTTAAGCTGTTACTAAGGGCAGGCTAAAGCAGATTTGACTTAATTCAGTGGCTCTTCATCTTAAAATCCATAAGTAGGTTTCAAGGAATCTATATTTCCCCTGTTTTATATGCAAAATACTGTGTGGATATTTTTTTCTGATTTCCATCAGAATCTATGACAGGTTAACCCAAAAAAGGGTGAGAGTCCCTAGTTTAATTCATTTATTGATCTGTAATTTTTCCTATTTTTGTTTTTTTTACTCTCAAATGAAAGAGACAAATCCAGAAATAGAAGCTTGCTCTGTATAGCCCCTGACTGCTTGATTGTAGCACCTTTTTACCCTCCCTTCAGACTGTTCCAGTGCCAGAGTTGTGTTTTGCTTTCCCCAGTCTAAAGGCAGTAATGAAGTTGTTAGTAGCATCATCATGTTAAAGAAGAAGATGGTGTGGTGGTTTTATTTTTTTTCCAGGATACGAAAGGAGGGGGGAAACTATTAAAGAAACAAATTTGCAGTGTTTAGCATCTTAACGCCTAAGCCTTTTGAAATTTAATAGTTAGCTTTTCTCACTTTTATATAATTGAGAAAGGAGAACAATTTCAATTGTGAGCCAAGGCTATATGGTCTCTTGTTTGGAAAACATTAATCCAATAGTAAGAGTTCATTTCTATTGAAACTGTTGGATTTTGGAAGTTTTGGTTTTGTTTTTATATGTAAGCATTGCTTTAGTTAATACAGTACTCATGATTTTCTGTGACTACGTCAGTGGGCTTATTTAAATGTCAGTGATTGTATTTAGTATTGTTGGCTTGGTTTTGGTTTTGCTACTTTAAGATTTTAATTTAACTATGTTAATCCAAGTTGGTTGGTGATATACTCCAGAATATAAAACTGAATTCTTTATTTCACTCATGCCTTAAGTCAGTTCAGTATTGTCCATGAACAGAGAAGTTGAAATAGACTAAATCATTCACTGTTTTGGTGTTCTGCTTCAAGTTTGTTAAGGTTTAGACATCAGTTTTCAATTGTCCAACATTGTACTACTATACCTGCATCCTTTTTCCAACGATAACATTGATAGTACTCCATTGGTGACTGGTTACCACCTCCACATTCAAACCACCTAAGGTTGTTTCTGTCTTTATGTAAAAATAGTCCTGGAAGAATTATATACACATTGGTAACAAAGGTCTCCGATCTACAACCAATGAGTTGTAAATAAAAAATGATCCTTCCTTAACCTACTTCTTGCATAAATTGACCGCCACTATGAAAGAAGCACAGTTTAAAGTTTCAAATAGATTTTCCTGGCCCCAAGAGCTAAACTTCTTAAGGGTGATTTAAAATGTGACCAAACATAATCAATTAATTAAAACAGTCTAGAACACAGTCTATATAATTAATCCCATGCTTTTCAATAGTAAGTATATGAAAATGAACCCTTTGAAAAACTTTTTGGAAATCATGTTTTCCTCTCTCTAAATACAGTGACTTCAACTTAAATTATAGTTGCTGTGGCCACTAACACTAACTTAACATCTTTGACATTTCTCGAATCGGGTCCCTACCGATGGCCAGTATGAAGTGTGCTCTCAGGTTTTGTAGCTGAGACTACAGCAGCGTTGGTGTTTCTCAGCTGTGTTTCAGAAATGTTTAAGTGAGACTCAAAATCAAAATGTTGAGAAGGTTGTTAGTCCTTAAAGATATGAGTTTTTTTACCTCCTAAGAGGGAGCTATGGTATCATAAGTGGATTACGGGTTGGGCTGCTAACCACAAGGTCAGCAGTTTGAATCTACCAGGTGTTCCTCGGGAGAAAGATGAGGCTCCTGTAATGATTTACAGCCTCAGAAACCCTATTCAGGGTTGCTTTGAGTTGGAACCAACTTAGTGTCATACAGTCACCACCACCACCACCACCACTCCTAAAAATTTAAAAGCACTGAATATGTATACTCGTTACTGAGTCAGTTCCAACTCATAGTGACCTTATAGGACAGAATAGGACTGCCCCATAGGGTTTCCCTGACTGTAATTTTTACAGCAGCAGACAGGGCCACATCTTTGTCCCATAGAACAACTAGTTAACCTTTCAGTTAGCAGCCAAGCTCTTAGCCATTGCCTCACCAGGACTCCTTAGTGAGTACATAGTGTGTTTGAGCGTAGTGACAGAAGGACAGTTTGCAGTGAGATTTAGAATTATATGTAGGTTATGTGTGTGTGTGCAAGTCAACATTTAACAGATCTTTCTAGCAGAGAGCATAGTATTATTAAGGGTTTGTTTGACATTTACATGTACTCACTCTGCTGACAAGGTTAAATTAGCCTCTCACTAAAGGCTATAGCTTTACTTATGTATCAGAACAGCAGGGTGCTTAGTGGAACTTCATACTCTCATTGTCTCATTAGACACTTAAAGTGGACCAGCAACTTTTAACAGCATTACTTCTTAAACAGAGGTGAGGTAGGGTAATGGTTCATTTTCTGGCACCAGACTGACAGAACAGCTGCACAGATTACTGCAAGCATCTCAGGGACTTCTGTTTGCCTGCAGTGTGACCTGTGCGTCCACCCTCCTTTTGGTTTTGGTTCCTTGACCTTTTTCTGAGTGAGAATCCCCACAACAGGAACAGCCAGATCAAACTCCAATGTGTGCTGTGCCTTCAAGCAGGGCCATTGATAAACATTAACAGGGGCTTCCTGTCTTGTTTCCCAAGACTGTGTCAGAAGGCCTGCATTCCACTTTTTGACCAGCTGCAGTGTTGTTTGGCTTTTATGAGATCTGCAAATTTGAGAGAACATGGTGAAGTTGGATCACAGCTAACTCCTTCAGAGCCTCATTTTCAGGGCAGCTGTCTTATCTCCCATGTGAAATTCCTTGGGTGAGGCTGGTGCATGGTTATGGGCAACTTGCAGGGTCCTAAGCAGACAAAGGCAGGCGGGCACTTGCTGCTGAATTGTGCTGGGTCTCCCAAGGTCACTGAGGCAGCTCTTTGGCATTAGCTCTCATATTCTCCCATGCCTTGGAGAGTTTCATTAATATAGCCTTGCACATTTCCTACCAAGTATTAAGAAATGTTTGTCAAAAGATTAAGTCTGTCTGAGGGTTGTATTGGGTTGTGTTTGTGGATCCAAGGTTTTATACCCCCAGCCCCTGAAACAAACTACTTTTGCATTAGACTCAAATTGTTTGAAAGTAGGATCATGTGTGTAGGCTATGTTACTACTCAAGTTAGATGAGTGACACTTGATTGTTAATATCTGCAGTTGACCAGTGTCTGAAGAAGCTGTTGATTAGTCCCAACAAAGCTGTCGTCGTTTGTGGCATGCTGCAGGAAGACTGGAAGACAGATGGCCCCATAGCAATAATGTGGCCATCTGGAATCCAACGCTCCAGGGATCCTACCTGACAGCACCCATCAGTAATGGATAGTGCCGTAGGGTCCCTGTCCCCAAAGACATTTGCTGTGATGAGTGAGAATCCATCAGGGAGGCTTGGTGAGGGTGACACTGAGATGGGGACTTTTCAGCAAGGCCAGGTTGACAAGTCAGCACCACTGATCAAATTCCCCTCAATGACCTCATCAGACACCTTCCAGCACACACCCCTTAAAAGAACAGAGACTTGAGATGTAAGCAGAATCACCCATTTCCTCATCGCCCTTCATTTCTCAAGGAGTTTCCAAGAACTAGTAGGGCTCTCAGTAATAAACACCATTCGTAGCAAGTTGATGAAGGTGCAGTCTATTACAAGGTCTGAAGAAGGCATGAAGGGCTTCTGGAAGTGAGCCGTCACTGTGCGGGTCTCCCTGCTGATGGCCACTCTGCACCACTGCCCTCCTAGTACCAGCCCACCACCCACTCAGACTCCTGGTCACGCTGAGGAACTAACAAACTCTTCCACAGTGGCTTCATCATTTTGCTTTCTACTTTCTTTTTAAAATGAATGGTCTATATGAGTGATTTATAAATTCCCCCGAAAATCAATAAATATTCTCTCCCATGCTGTGTGATCTTCCTAGCTGACTAAGGTAATGTTGGGAAGTCATATCCCAGGGTTCTGTCAGGCTGCTCTGACATGGAGCTTTTAGGAGGTCTTCCAGGAAGTGCTCCTCATGACTTGAACTTGACTTACTTATATAGCACTGGAGAGTTCCTTTATGTTGTAGAGGAATCGTCTGTGCCCTTGGGGTCACTGATTCCGATTGTTGGATAGCTGAGAGGGCTTCTCCTTTGTTTGTTAGTTAGGATTTCTGTGTGTTTTAATCTTGCTCTCAGCACTGCTTGCTCTAGTTTTGGTTTGTTAGCTCAAGAAGTCTAGTAGTTATCTTGAGTGTCCATTATTAATGTTAGTGATTTGTTATCCAGCGCCTTTCTCCCATCATGATTTATGCTGAGAGTGTCAATGCTGTGTTTGCTTAAACACTGTTCAAATGAAATGGCCATGGTACCTGTGGGAACAGCCAGCAAAGCTAGCCCTAAAGTGGTAAAGGTGTGTCTATTGAGGCCTCTGAAGCAGATTCTTCTACCTCAAGGGTTTTTAAAAATCAATTTAAAAGAGATGATGATTATGTTTTATGTTAGGAGTGATTTAAAAGACAGGTGATAAGCAAACTTTTATCTTGCTGAACAGTAGAAGGTTTAAGTTTGATTTTTTAAATAGTACTCAGCAGAGAGTTTGAATTCTCTGTCAGTCTATTCTCAGGCTTTACTTTAAATTTTTTTGCTGTTAATAAGATTTTATAAATGGGTGCTTTCTCTCATAGCTTGGGCAACTTTTTGTAAAACCATTTTACCATTCCAAATGACATCTGAGAAGATTTTCTTCACCTTGTTCTGTTTTTACACCTTCCGCGGGAGAAAGATGAGGCTTTCTGCTCCCGTAAAGATTTACAGTCTCAGAAACCCTGTACAGGGCCGCTATGGGTCGGAACCGACTCCACGGCACATACAACAACGACATGAGTATTTCACAGCAGCTTACTTAAGGATGTCCCCTCAGAAGTTGAGCAGCTTCTATGGAATAATCAAAGAAGTGTCCATTTGATTTTACTACTTCGAATTTCATTTACTGCGCACTTGTCGGTACACAGAGATGTGAATAGCAGCTCACATTACTCTTTCACCAGATTTGAGCTTCTGAGATGATGAGAATATCATTTTAGAAACAGGGATGCTTGGAAACAGATCTGGAGCTGTTAATCAGTTATGACTCAGCAGTCTAATGTATGTTTGCAAGGTGCCACACCCTAGAATTTTCTTTCCATTACTAACTTCACTTTTTGGATTGCTAAGCATTATGTGTTAACACCTAAGGAAGTGGTCAGCACCTTAGAGAATGTGTAAAACTCTGATAATTTTTTGTTTTTTTTCCCCCTTTGAGACAGCACTGAGAAAAATGTTGGGGTGAGAAGTTAGGGTTTGGATTATCTGTAGTTTCAATAAAGGGAAAAAAAAAAATTAATGTTTTAATGGGGGGAATTCTTAGCCTGTGTGTCTTTGTAATGTGGTATTCAGCTTCCATAACTACTTCTGGTCTTGTAAGTAATTGATCTTAGTTGATGTTTAAAAAAAACAAAAAAACTATTTTTGTGTGTAATCTCTTTAGCAGGGGGAGCAATCTCAGAACTGTTGTGAAGACCCTTGAAGTTCTTCGTTCTTCCCCGCTTTGTCATCACCGGCGTCTGGACACTGTGGTCAATCATTTGAGATTGACTTTAATTTAAAACAAAGTCCTGTACCTCCTTCCTAGGAGGTAGAGGAGCGAATTTTATGTTTGAATGAAGAAGTGAATTATGGAAGAAGAGTATCTGTCCCTTCCCTTCCCTTTCAAGCATAAGTCCAATAGGCTCTCAGGAACGAGGATTTGTGAAGATACCACATAGGAGTTTTGACTCACTTAGACTTAATGTTGAGCTACGTTGCTGGAGAAGAGATACCTATGGTTTTTGCTGATCTAACCCCGCTGGGTTTAGACCTGTCATTTCCTATCTCCTGTCAGACTTCTGTCCTCAGTGCATGGTCCTTGAGTGACTTAATTTGCTACCAGTATGCTAGGAAAACTTCTGTTGCCTATATTCTTTATTCCGTTTTGAACTTACCCTCTAACCAGATGCCTCCTGTATTTGCATATTGTGCATAACGGGTGGGCAATAAAAGAAAGTTGTCAAATTTCAGAAAGGTAAGAAAGATAAGGCCCCTCTTTCTACCATGTTTTGCTCCAGAAGCTGGGCTGTAAGAGCTTCAGGTTTTTGTTTTTCTTTTGTTTTTTTCTTGTTTTCCTTTCTTTTCTTGTTTCCCTTCAGCATTGCTGTATCTGTATTAATCATGGCTTTTGGAAGAGAGCTCATTTCAGTTGCGTCCATCAAGGAATCATCAGTTGTTTCTATTGCACTATTATGTGCTGGCCTCCAGTGATGGGAGCAAACCAAGGTGTCTTGAGATAAACGTCTTTTTTATTGGGGTGGGGGAATCTATGCAAGGACTAAAGTAAAATCGTCCAAAATCAAAGCAGCAACTTCTTAGTTCAAATCAAAGATGAAGGTAATTTTTTTTTTTTTTTTTTAATCACTGCCTCCTTCCTGTATCCATACTATTTTCTTATCTGTTTTCAGTCACTTCCTTTCTGTGAAAGGTTGCTTAGCTTTCTCGCTCTCTCTTTTTTTGTTTGCTTTTATTGTTCTTTATTTAAACAATAGTAAATTGGATGGACATGCACATTAGATGGTTTCAGTTCTCTGAAAATCCAGAGGAAAGAAAGCAGATGTGGAAAGGACTTTTTTTTTTTTTTTTTTTTTTTAATCTTTTTAATTGACCGAAAGTTGGCTCCACTTGGTGGTGGTTTTCTCAGTACTTAGGAGAGTTTAAACATCATGCTTACTGTGAAATCCACATCAGTTGGTGGGTGCTCCAGTAGGTAGCTGAACAGGGTGATTAGCTTTTGGATTTTAGGTAGAAATCACGGTAGATCACAGCAATGAGTCCCAGTCCATCTTGTAGAACCTCTCAGTAGTTGAAGGACAGAGCTAAATCTGAGTCAGTTGCAAAATGCCTATATTTCTAGATGCCACTACTTTTTCCTCAAATGCCCATTTAAATTTCATATTGGTCTAGTAATTGTAGCAATTGGTTCGGCGGTCCACTGGACACATTTTTGTTGTGTGTACATCATACCTATGTCATTTCTCTCCACACTGTGTGCTGTCATAGTGTGCAGACTGTGTGAGGAGACAAAGGATTGCTGCCTTTGCTCCACGTGTGAAGTAGTTTCGGTTTCTGTTGCTGTGCATTTGAACGTTGTTCCTGTGTCTACTTCCTAAAGTGGCTACTGAGAAAACCAACTGAAGCCTTGTCAGATGGTCTCTGGCAGCAGCTCCTAATATTTATGCTTTAGATTTTTTTTTTTTTTTTCAGTTCCTAAAACCTATCCATTTCAGTTGGAAACTCTTGAGTTGTACAGTATATGTATATTCTCTTCTCCTCTTTTCCCTCCCCACTCCTGTGTTGTTTTTTATTGTTCTGTAGTTTTGTACAAGATGAGACTTAGCTTGCATATTTCTTGCTGAAGCTTTAATGCTTTGTAAATAAAATTGGATGTTTATTAAAGAATGGTGTCGATGTTTGTTTTTAAGCAGTGATCACTTCTGAAACTCACACACCTCTTTGCTATGTACTATGGAAAATGCAATGTGCTGTGTTGACAGAATTTTAAAATCTTCATTAGGTGTAGAAATACAGAACCCCAACAGCTATTGGATGGACAGGTAGTGTACGTTTCTGCCTCTAGACTAGATTATAAATAGATGATTGAAGCAAAAAATTGTTAACCAAAAAGATCATCCAGAAAGCGATCGTGCAGTATCTCTACATTTTTTAGCTCATAGAAGTGTGTATAACTGCTTTGTAGAAACCACAGTGCTGGACACTCTTAACAGTTCCAAAAATAAATGAGAGTTCTGTCATCCATGGACCTTTATTACAACCTTGTTGTTGTTGTTAAGTGCTGTCAAGAATTGGTTCCAACCCATCACGATACTGTATAGGGTTTCTGAGGAGTGACTGGTAAGTTTGAACTGCACTGACCTTGTGGTTCAAACTGACTTTGTAGTCCAGCTACACCAGGACTACTCTTAGAACTTGTACAATTTAACTGTATAACCTAGTACAGTTAAATACCTCATTAGCCATTTTTATAAGACTAAATTGTTTTAAAACTCATTGAATACTCATTATCTCCTAAAGATGATTTCATAAATTCCTAGATTTTAGTCATCTCTAAATCTGAGTGTCTACTTAATCTTTTCTAAGTGACTGAGAATCCTTCTTTGACATCATAGCTGTTTCGTAGCAACGTTGGCCCAAGCAAACAATGAGATCGTCTGTTCTATAAAGGGAGTAGACAGAGAATCATGGGGAATTAGGTGTCCTCGTACCCAGAAAACGTCTTCAGAACCTTTAGGAAAGAAGAATACAGAAAGGAGGGAGAGGAGCTACATTTAACATCTGTCTTGCTGATAAATATTCTAAGATGGGATCTTGGCCCTGGTCTTCATGAATTTTTGCTTCTGTTTAAAATTTCTTACATGTAATTGTGTTTTACACTTTACGAAATGTTTTCATTTATTGTAATTTGATGCTCAACGTGACATTCCTGAAATAGGCAAGGATTGTCTTCATTTACAGAGGAGGAAATGAAATTCTGGCAAGATTAAGTCACTTACCGTGGTAACTTTACAGTATCCTTAATCCTTATTATAGAAGACTTAGGAACTCTTGAAGTTGTTATTAATAACTTAATCAAATTAATCCTCATTTAGACTAATACTGTGTTTCTTGTTTGGCCAGAAATTTACCGACCTTTTGAAACCCTTAATTTAGAGTCTGCAGTTTGGAAAGGATCAAGAAAAGTGATGGCACTGTGCATTTAGGTCATTTGGAAGTTCACTTTAGCTTCTGAAGTATTTCGTCTTTGTCTTCCCAAGAGGTGGATTTAAATCTGTTAAAGGATGTGAAAAGGTTTAAGACTGGTAAGGCAGTTATTAACAAGTCTAGATAGTAAAGCAACAACACTGTGGGGTTTTTTTTTCCGACCCGTTAATAAGGACTGGACTTTTTGTATTGTTTTGACAATGCACGCATCATACCTTTTGACTTTGAAAGGGATCTTGTGTTGAAGGAACCATGTTACACTATTGAAGATTCAACTGGAATACCTTGAAGTGCTGACTGAGGTTCATGAAATTCCTACTCAGATATGAAGACTTTGGCTACTAGTTTTATCCTTGGAAGCCTGGTGTTGGCCTACTCCTTGTGTTTCGAAATGACTTTACCTAAAACACTGGACATCCCCGAGAAGCTGCAAGAAGCTGTAGGGCAAGTTATTGTCAATGCTACAACTTGTACCGTCACCTGTGGCCTTGGTTATAAGGAGGAGACTGTCTGTGAGGTGGGCCCTGATGGAGTGAGAAGGAAGTGTAAATTTCAGCGCCTGGAATGTCTGACCAATTGGATCTGTGGAATGCTCCATTTCACCATTCCCATAGGGAAGGAGTTTGAGCTGAGTTGTCTAAGTTCAGACATCTTGGAGGTGGGGCAGGAAGCTTTCCGCTTCACCTGGAGACTTGCTCGAGGTATCATCTCTACCGACGATGAACTCTTCAAACCCTTCCGAATCAATTCCTACTTTGTGAAGTTTGAATCTGCTAGGGAGTTTGACTCTGGGACATACCGATGTGATGTACAACTGTTAAAAAACCTGAAATTTGTCAAGAGACTCTATTATGGGCTGAGGGTCCTTCCTCCTCATTTGGTGAACCTCAATTTTGATTTGTCCCTAACCGAAGGTCAGAAGTTAGTAGATGAGGGCCTGGAAGTGAATCTGGACAACTATTCCAGGCCTTCCCATCCAGCATGGAAAAAGGACGTGGCATTTGCTTTAAGGATAGGAATTGCCAGTGGCATGGCTGGTGGGGTGTTGGTGACCATAGCCCTTTGCAGTGGGCTGAGGTTGATCCACAGCAACAATGGCCTTGATGGGTTAAAAGCTTTGCGCCTGAAGGACTGGTTGTTCTGGAAGCCGAGCTAGCTTTTCAGAAAGTGTTCTGGCTGCTGGATCGTTGATGAGCTCCCAAAAGAGTGTGTATGGAGGAGGGGGAGAGAAAATACTGTGGTAGCTATGGACAGTAATCCCTACCATCTTTATGTGCCAGGTGGATCCCTTCCTGATTCTCCTGCCCACTATGTGCCCAGGAAACTAACTACAGGCTTCTCCCCTACCCCTGGTTAGAGTTCTGCCTTCCAAGCCTGCATTCATTTTCTGCCCTTTATAACTTGCACGCCTCCCCACCTCCGCTTCCCCTCGTCTGAACAGTATATTCATTGCAGAAGGATATATTAATAGATTTTCTAGTGAAAACATTTTCCCTTCTTCAATAAAAATACTTATTAATTCACTGTAGCTGTCTGTTGACCTAACCTTTTCCTTTTCTGCTCTTTACTTAAAAATTTCTTGTGTGCATTTAACTTTTTCCATAATTGGTCTGGCTCTTGCTTTCCTCAGGTTTCTGAGACATTGAGCAAATTGCTTTTGGGGGCCACCTACCCTTGTGTGGCAGAGCTGAGGTGGTTAGTATTGAGGACTAGACAGTCACTCACTGATACTAAATTATCTGCACTCGGCGCGCTCCCCAGGTGAGACCTCTCTGCTCCATGCTAAATGTAATCGGCAGAACACTGCATTCGTCATCTGGTAGGTGTCCACTGATCTTGACTTGCTCCCTGCTCCTTTCCTTTTGCTTTGTCATTGTCCTGAAGCTTGTGTTGTTGAGTGGTTTCTGTTAGCAGCCAGGGCCCCCTATGTTGTTTAGTGTCATCGAATCGTTTCGGGCTGACGGTGACCCCCACATAGGGTTTCTGAGGAGCAGCTGATGGGTTTAAACCACTGACCTTGCAGTTGGCAGTCTAGTGCATATGCTACAGCACCACACCAGGACTCCAAGGCTTCCTAAGAGAGGAATAATACCTGCTTCCCTATGGCAAAGTGGCAGCATCAGTGGGCTCAGGCGTGGCAACAATTGTAAGGTTGGCCTAGGATTGGGCAGTTTTTCTGTTGTATATAAGGTTGCTATGAGTCAGTACCAACTTGATGGCAGCTAACAACAACAACCCTATGTAGGAAATCCAGTCTGAAGACCTTTAAGGGCCACTCAGACTGAGGTCATTGACTTGTAGAACCTCTAGGGACCAGCCCTGACCACCAGTTAAGCTAGTTCTATGGAGAGAATTATAGTGTTTGTTCCCCTCACTTTCCTCTAGTTACAGAAGTGGGGAGTAGCAGAAACAAGACAGACCAATGGTCCTTTTCTCTAGCTGTACGTCAGAAGATTCCTGAGCCCCAACTCTGAAGATGTCAATTCATGTATGGCCAAAGAATCTGACTTTTTAAATTTTTTTTAAACTTTCAAACCTATAAGGGGGTTAGAAGAAATGTTTGGTGCCCATTCACCTAGACCCTTTACCTAGACTCACCTATTAATCTTTCTTTCATCCTAAATATATGGTGATGGTGGTGGTATGCCATCGACTCATAGTGACCCAGTGTAGGGTTTCCGAAGCTGTAAATCTTTGGTATTGTTGTTAAGTGCCATTAAGTTGGTTCCAACCCATACAATCCTGTATAGGTTTTCTGAGGAGCGGCTGGTGGATTTGAACCACCACGCTAGCAGTTCAAACTGACCTTGCACTCCAGCGCATTATGCTGCATCACCACACCAGGACAGGAGCAGATGCCTCATTTGACTTCTGAGGAGGGGCTGGTAGATTCAGACTACTGATCTGTGGTTGGTAACCCACAGTTAGGCTACCAGGGCTCCTAAATATACATTGTTCTTACTTGCTGTTGTTACAGCAGTTTTAGATTCGTGGTCGAAGAAACCGAGGCCGCTCGGAGAGGTGAAGTAGAGTTTCAGATTTTATTAAGCCGGCTGACTCAGAGGAGCTAATTTCTCCAGATTCTGAGCTCCGAGTGGAGGACAACATGGGCCTATATGGGGTCAGAGTCCTGGGAGGGGCCAGGCTGCATACCTGTTTGAGGACAGGGGGAAAATCAGGGGGATTGGTCCCATTTGGTGATCTGATTTAACAGTTTAGCTTGCCTCCTGGCCTGGAGAGGGCAGTGAATAACTTTTACCATTTCCTGTTCACTGTCAAGTCATTTCTGACTCTGTGTATAGAGCTTCCAAGGAGCGCCAGGAAGTTTGAACTGCCAGCCTTGCAGTTAGCAGCCCTGTGCCATACAGGACTTGAGGGCAAGTAAAAAAGTCCTCCTACTAGGGTGTGGTACTGTAGAATAAGCTCTGGACTGCTAATTGCAAACTCACTAGCAGCTCCTTGGAAACCCTATACAGGGTCCCTATGACTCAGTGACACTTAACAGCAATACCACCACTAGAATTTCAGTTCATACATAACATGGATTTATTCCAAACAAAACGTGTTTAAACACATCTGAAATCAATGAGTGACTGCCAACAGGTTCTCTCATTAACACACTTATCTAGTTAAGGTGCCTTCAATTAAAAAAATAAAGTTCCAATGAAAACAATGGCTTCTGAGGGCATTTGTGGGACCAGTTCAGTTGAAGGCTGACAGGGCAGCTCAGAAGGTTATGGTGACTGTTTAGGGGATCCCAAGGAGGTAATTTTGATAGATTTTCATGGGGACTTTATTAGGGAGCAGTTTTAAGGAAATGGAAAACTTGAATTGGTGAGCGAAGGGCCAGCAAAGTTGCACTCAGGACATTTTTTTTTTGCCCACCTCACCAATGGGCCTTCTCATTCTTTGAGTATAGCAAGGGCTGTCCTCAGAATTTCACTGGAAAACCTTACCCATCTGCCCTTCAGCCCTGTTTTTCCCATTTTTGTCCCCCAAAATCAAAGAATAATGTTTTGATGTATAAATCAAAGAGCACAGAATTTTTTGATAAAAGCTGAGAGAAACACCCCCTTCAGAAGTGTATAGACTTACATGGAGGATATGTTGAGAAACAATAGCTTTACATTTTGCTATTTCTCTTTATATAAGTTTCTATGATTTTTTTAACTTGATTTTGATGACTATTTGGAAATTAGGCACTGTGATCCTTCACCCCAGCTCATCAATTCATCTCTCATAAGGACATTCTCCTGTGTAACCACAGTGTCATATCACACCTAAGAAAATGGGCAGTAACTCCCTGATCTTATTTATAGTCTATACTCAGATTTCCCCTATTTATAAAATCTTACAGCATTTTAATTATATTTTAGATTTTAATCCAGGATCAAATGAGGGGTCACGTGTTGCATTCAGTTCTCTTTAGTCTCTTATTTTATTACAGGTTTGTTGCATTTAGTTTTTCATGCGTTGACTTGATTGAAGAATCTAGCTAGACCCAGGTGCCTGTTGTTTACAATCTGAGTTTGTCATTATTTCCATGGTGCTGTGCGTTAATGCAATGGACTGCAAAGCCACTTTGAACCGCAATGTTGGTGGCTCACGCTCACCAGCTGCTCTTCAGAAACCCTATACAGGATAGCTATGGGTCGGATTCGACTTGACAGCAATTAACAACAACATTGGATTCAGCAGAACTGTTTTTGACAGGAGCTCTGCAGAGACCACTATACTTATTGCATGGCGTCAAGAGGCACCTAAAGTCAGGCTCATCCACTGTTGGCGATGATAGATGGTTCATTTGGTGTCCGTGCTGGTAGTTAGCTCTCTCCAGAGGTATGTTGTTTATTCCATTTGTAGTTAATAATCTGGGCAGTGAGACTTTTGTGATGGCGGTTATCTGGCTCCCCAGAAAGCAATTCACGCAAAGGTATTGACTTCCATTCATAATCCTTATTCATTGTGGCAGGTGGGGATGCAAATGATGATTCTTCTAAGTTCAGCATTCCTTCTACATTGATTAGCCTGAATTTTTCTATAAAGAAGAGCTGTTACTCTTTTTATCCTCTTGAGGTGTCAATGGGTTTTCTTTTTAATTCAGTGGATTATATAACCCATTCGTCATTAATTTGATGCTCAAATTGTCCTAAACTTTGGCCAGTAGGAGCCCCTTCTGTCCTTCTGATGTGGTCCCATTTGATTTTAAGCATTCCATTATTTTCTAGTATAAGTTGCCCCACGTCCACCCTGGAACTTGCCCTAAACTGGAATCTGTTCTGCCTCCAAGTGACTCTGGTTCATGTTGGTGTGGGAGTGGTATTTAGAACCCAAGAGTGCTGTGTGCTAGACATGCTTATTGCTACTGGGCCCTCCCAGTGTCCTGTACACAGAAATAATGAGTTCTGAGTATCTTTAAGAGTTTCACAGATGATTCTGAAAAATAACCAAGGTTGAGAACCACTGCATCAGGAGTATTTCTTAACTATTGCTCATAGTTTGAAGAGTTCGTCTGTGTTCCTCATACCCTTTCCCTCATACTTCCTCTGAAGGGATGGACTTCAGACCTCGATTCTTGTGCTGACCTGCAATCTCCTGTGTACAAGCTGTCTGACCCTGGGTAGTCTGCATCTTTGAAATGGGTGGTCGAAAGGACTAAATTGGAGTCCTGGTGTAGCACCATAGGTTAAGCACTGGACTGCTAACTGCAAGGTTGATGGTTCGCATTTACTAGCTACTCCTCAGAAACCTTTGCAGAGTTAAATGCTATGCAGCATTTAACAACTTAACAATAAGGATGAAATGAGATCTTGTGAGTAAAAGCGCTTTGTAAACTATAGCAGTGTACACCAGTTAGGGAATGTTGCTCAAACATCTGGTACTGGTCAGTGCATGGAAGCAGCTAGGAGATAGCTTGCTACACTTTAATAGAGAACCATATGTAACATGGCATCTTATTTGGTGCTGAGGGGACAGGAGAACTATGGGATGCTATTTGCTATTTTACGATGGAGAGGTTGAGACTTAAGAGCTAAAAAATGTCTCCAGCATTCTGTTGCAAGTCAGTAGTCAAGCCTGGGAGGGGCTGTTACACAGCTTTGGGCTCTTGAAGTTTGTCTCTGAAGATAAAAAGGATTGAGCAGGGAAGAGGACAAA